TCTCTAACCAATGAGTACATTATTTAGTTTTTTTATATAGGTATAAGTTGCACTTTTATTATATAATTTTATTAAATATGTGTTTCTATTATTTTTAACATCAAATATAAATTTGTACTCTAAAAAAATTATCAAACATGTTATTTTGTTATTTTATTAAATTTGTTAGACTAAATAGGGGTTTAACATTTATTAGTGTTAACACTATGCTAACATAATTATTAAAGGTATTATTGTAACTTCAGTGCATAGTAGTTACCTACCCCTTCCTCCCTTAACGTTTTTCCCTTGAGTTTTCTTGTATGTTTTATGAATTTTGTGGTGTGATGAGGTTTTGGTACGATTTATAAGTTTTATGATCTACTTATGTTATTTGTGATGTAGTTTGTTGTGTTTTCTGGTATGTATTTTATAGTATGCTTCATGATGCTTGTGGTGAGGAGGGAGGGCACAAAATAAATGAGTAACGTCACGCGCTTGTATCCCCCTTTCTTAAATAGAGGGAGCTCTTTTCACTTTGTCTTTCGCGACGCGAGGGCTTCATCATTGGTCTTCGAACCCAACGGGGAATTCATTTGCAATACGCGGGGGCTCTTTTCCCACCTCTTTTCTTCGACCTCTCTTATCTGTTTGGCTCTTATTGTTAACCTCCTCTCACGGTCTTTCTGTTAGAGTTGCTTTCCAAAGTGAGTTGTCTCTTTTACAAGAGTTCAAATTAAGAGAAAGTTCGCACATTACTTGTTCTCCTTGCGACTAGACTGAGGCAAGAGTACATGGCAAGCACGTTCCTCTCTTTAAAAACTGCTATTAATTGTGGTCAACTTTTTGCAAATAAAAGTCATTTAGACGAAATGTTTCTATTGGCTGAAACTGGTATTAAAATCATGCTAACAAATTAGGTGTTAGCACCATGACCTCTGCCGAAAATGTTTATCCAAAAATTGTCAATTACAGTTCGAATGACGTGACCTCGACAATATGAAAGAAAAAATGTCAGTTTTGCCCCTCCCTTTATTTCTCGAAGTCTAGCTAAAGTGAAATTGTTAGAGGTTTCAGGCTATAAAAAATTGTTAAAATGAAATTATTAGAGGCTATTTTAGACATTTGTGACACCCAAATCACAGTTCACCAGGTTGACAATTATTGTATGAAAATTTCAACAGAAAAACATATCTAATAGGGATATATTATATACCGTGGCAGAGCAATGAATTTAAATGAGAGGGTTGCCTTGTACCATCATAATTTGGAGAGGGGGTGCTAATGCCTTATCAACTACTTTATTTCCTAAATTTGTTATAAAATTTATATGTAATTTTATCTATATTTAAAATATGAAGGGGAGCTATAGCCCTTCCTGTATTCAATCTAACTCCTTTATTGATTATATAGATAACTCTTTTTATTTTCAATTTTAACGTGTATTGCATATTAGTTAGGATCATATTGACACTATTAAGTCATATTACAATATGTGCTTGCATCATTTTATACTTCATTTCATTCGAAGACTAAATTTTGCAAATGCTACTCTTAGCCAGAGTCTTGTAAGGGAAAAATTCATAGATATGATATCATATTTATGTGCTTAGATTTAAGATAAACAGGAAGTCACTAAAAAAAGATAAGGTTATGATTTAAGAGAATTATTAGAATTTATAAAATCGCTAGAAAAATATGATTTTGGGAAGTTATCTTCTCAATTAAGACTAGCGTGGGACCTGGTCATTTGGCCGGAGTAAGGTGAGGTATGAAATTTTATAATGTAATGGGTGTATAGCTTATTGTTGTATAATTTTTTTTGGGAAACACGTGATAAAAATAGTGAATTTTAGTAGAAAAAAGACATGAATGGTGCAACGAATCAAAAACCAGCCTTATGAACCAAAATCAAGTACCTGTTACCTTGTGAAACAATATTGTTTCTGGTAATATGATGAGGTGGAGTAAGTTTTATAGAAACCGAATTCCAGAAAATCGAATAAAAAATTGTCTATCCCGCCGGTTTTCGGGAAATGAGCATCTCACAATCGTTGTTAGCTTTTACTCGGCCCGTTGGCCGATTAATTTGCTTTATAAAACTTTCAAATTGTCATCATTGTGCTTTCTGGTTTTTTGCCAAGCCATGATAAAATCTAAAGAAATCAAGAATGAACAACACGATTTGGGATAGGAACCACCGTTCTTGTATCCCTAGAAAATGGTGGTAAACACGGACTCACCTGCCAAACTGGTTTGGATTGAGATTTTTATCGGGTATCAGGTAACCATGTGATTATAAATTAGACTTGATCAAAACGGGCCAAAACTTGAAATTTAGCCTATTTGACCGACCCATGCCAAACTCTAATTATTCTTTACTTTTAAAATTTCTATTTGAAAATAAAAAATAATGAAAGAAAAGAGATGATTGCAATTCGCCATTTGCACATCACTAATTCGGGAATAAAACTATAGAATTTCGAAAGGAAACTGAAAATGATTAGGATCATTTTAATGTTAAAAATAACCAAATAGATCTTTTTGTTTAGTTTTTTACTAACAAATACCAAACGATTTCCTATAATATACACTATAATTTAATCATTATGATATCAAATAATTACATAATATATATTCGAAATGATAAAAATTGCTAATTGGGTTGGTCGAGGTTGAACCATTGAATAACTTTAAAATACATTATATTTTAGCCACTAAGATATAAAATAATAGCATAATATATATTATTCTAAAGAAAATAGCTTGTTTTAAAATGGCAAACTCATGATGTTCATTTGTTTTACTTGATGGGCAAATCCCGTGTAGGTCAGGCCCATTCAACTCTTTTATTTTATGATTAGCGGTTAGCCCATTAGAATCCATGCATTAGTTTATTGTTAAATTTTTCTTTTAAGCAAAAAAAAGGAGTATTGTTTTTACCTTTTCATATATATTTTACTACCAAGGAGAAATAAAAGGACTTAAAGAAAAAAATTGACACTTCTGGACCCGTTTAAATCCGCATGTGTACGGTAAGTTGGCCAGTTCCACAAAGGAAAAATAAAAAAATTGACACTCTCTATTCTACCCTTCCTACAAATGCTCCTAGAGCAGGGAATTTGAAATGGGGGAAGGGTTTTTTCCTCTATGCAATTATATGTTTTTAATTTAAAAAAATACAATAAATGTACTTAGTGTGATTGGTTATGATCTTTACTTTTCTTTAAAGTGGTCATGGTTCGAATCCTAGTAAGTGTCTTTTTAATAAATAAAAAAAAGTAATTGTGAAGACCAAAATGTCCTTCCTACTTATATTTAAAGAGGTTTTCTTATATTGCAATTAATAAAAAAATTGTACAAATGGATAATTATAGTGTGAATGATGTTGCTGGTTGCACGAGAGAAAAGATGTACGAGTGAGGGTAAAATTTGTTTGATGGGCGATACTTGTAGTTTTGTTGTGTTGCTCATATTATTAATTTGGTTGCGACTGATGGGTTGAAGAAAGTTGGAATTTATGTTGATAGGGTTCGAGATGTGGAAAAGTGGGTGAATTCATCTCCATCCACGCTTACTAGATTCAAGACTTATGATGCATATGTTCATATTGATACAAAGAAGCTTGTGTCTTTAGATGTTCCAACAAGGTGGAACTCAACCTACTTAATGTTGGAGCCTTCACACGATTTGAGAAGGTGTTTACTTTCTTATATAGAAAAGATGAAAGCTCCAAGAAGTACGCGGAATATTAAGGGGCCAACAGGAGAAGACTGGAGTAGACTGAGACCATTGATGAAGTGTTTGTAATTTATTTGTGATTTGGCTGCATATGTATCCGGTATGTTAGCTAAAACTATATGTTTTTTTAGGGGATTGCTAAATGACGTCCTTAAAATTACTTTTTAACGTCCTAAATTATATTAATTTACCTATTTGTCCAATTATCAATTTCAAATTATGTACTAGAGTCCAAACATATCTCTCGTCCATCTCACTGCACTCTCCAAGAGACCAAGTCACAAGTCCAACTTCCTCTCTCCTACATCACCCCTGTCCCCTGCATATTGACTTGTCCTACATTGCCCCTGCATATCGACAAACTGCCCAAGCTGACAAACTGCCCTTCACTCTTCTCTCTCACCTGCTCCCCAAGCTCCAACCTCGTCGACCTCTGCCTCACTGTCACTGGTGGGTTTGCATTGTTGGAGAAGACGGAGATTCGGAGAAGGTGCATTCCCGTTCGCCGCACCGCACTTGTTGCCGGAGAAGAAGCTCGACGTCGACGCCACTCCTGCACTCATTCTTCCTCCCGTCGTATTCGTCCCAGCTCGCTGGCGATCGTCGACCTCTGTCTCTCCTTGCCGGTCTCTGTTTCTCCCCTTGCACAGCCTTCTGTTTCTCACCGCCGACCTCTGTCTCTGTTCCTCCCGCCATAGCCTTCCCGGCCAGCTGCCATCACCTCTGCCCCTGCGTTGTCGGAGAAGACGGAGATCCGGAGAAGGCCCATTCCCGTTCGCCTCACCGCACTTGTTGCCGGAGAAGCAGCTCGACGACGGCGCCACTCCTGCACCTTCTTCCTCCCGCCCTAGACGTCCCAGATCGCCGGCCATTGGTAAGACATAGCCATTTTTTTCGTTTGTTCTATGGTCCAACGTCGGTCAAACTTCTTTTTCCCTCCGTGGCCGAACGAAACTTTGTCTGCGTTTAACTACCATATGCACTCTTTTTTTGCCTGCGTTTGAGCCCATATAACCAGTGGATGGGCTGAGCCCATATATCCATTAGTAATGAATTTATAATTTCAGAATTTGAATTCATTTTCTTACCTGCGTTTGAGCCCATAGGATTTTGTTTAATTATGATTATGTGCACATTATACATTATTATTGAAAAAATATTTAATGTAATAAAACATTTATAAATTTAAAATAGTTATGAAGAAACATGTAACAATACGTATTAGACTTAAGTAGTTAAATGTTACAAGTTTAAATGATTAATTTATTTTAAGTGTGACAATTTAAATTGATTATTTATTATTAATTTAATTTCAGGATATTCGTTGATCCAGTTCCGCTCTGCCGTCCTATACTTGCCATGAATAGTGATAGCGACTCGGATGAGGTATTTATGTTATGAACCATCGCCTGAGAATCTTTTACACTCCACTTGTATTTCTTCAACATGTCCAATGTTGCACTCCGATTGTAGCACTCAAGCACCCCACGATCCTGCTCAGGTGAAGTCCACAACACATGGGCCACGTGACCAGCAAAACTAGGGATCACGTCGGGAATCATCGGTCCGCCCGTACACATCACTACTGATTCTCTCGTAAGAAGCCAAGACTTGTCTTTGTTGGCTCTCTTCTTCCTCTTCTTAGAGTTACCACACTGCTGAGAACTAGATGCTGCCCGAAAGCGTCCATCAGGACCCCGACATGTCGTCGAGGAAGTAGAAGTCATCGGAGCTCCTAAGTACCTCTGAACCTGAGTCTGAGCGACCTTCTCTGCCTCATCATCATCATCATCATCGTAATCATCATCATCAATCGGTATACCATCATCCGAAATAGAGTCCTCCCAACTCGGCTCCCAAGTATCGACACGATCAGATGTAGGTGTGGGACTTTTCCGACTAAGAGACAACTGCCCTTGAGTAGGATGACCGTCAGGACGCTCTACTTGTAGCTTCTTCTGCCTCGCTCGATTCTTACGAGGATTTTTGTCTTCATTTTCTTTTCGCCCAGTTGCCGTAGGTCTACAAGTTCGGTTTTTCATTCGATCCTTAATGGTTCCAGATTTTTCAATTCTCGACATCTTCAAAAACATACAATGCTACTATTAGAAATTTAGAATATGATTTTGAAACGTATTTGTGAACATTTATTAGGTTCGTATAAAGTTCAAATAATATTTTATCTTGTGTTCTTGAATTAGTAGTAATCTTAATTTCATGGAAAAAAGAATTACGTCCTTTATTTGTGAAATGTAATTATATCACAACTTCAACAAAATTCAATGAAATGCTAAATTTAACTATATATATATATTGAAAATAATTTAACTATATATATTAAACTACTCTAAATACAACAAGTAAAATTTCTACCAATTTTTATAACGGTGTATAACGTTTAATTTCTACCAAGTTTAATTAAGTTAATTGAAATACTAAAATTTAACAAGATCTATTCAACTAATCTTCAAAATAAGTACGTATCCAACTTCAAAATGACATATGGGCCATTTTGAGCCCAAACTCCCTCGGTTCTCCGAACCACCCTTGGGCCATCTATGGGAGCAGTTAATTAGCGTTGAACTCACACGTGTACAAAGACAAGCTTCATGAACTCGGGAAAATATCAGAGAAAAAAAAAATTAAAATATAAAATTAATTGATAAAAGGGGACGGTGGGCTAGGTGGGATTGACAGGGCTGCTCGCTTGTCAAAATTTAGGTAACCAGTTCGTGGAGCGGGAGCGAGAGCTGGAGCGAGAGCGTAAGAGCGTCTATTTTATAAGAATTCATTATTGAGAGCGTGATGAAAGCGTCATGATATATTATTTTTAATTATTTTTATATATTTAATATATTTTTTATAAAATTTCTAAAATATTATTAATACCAAAATAGCACATAACAAATTGATTACATTTATATAAAAAATTACAATGCAAATAAGATGAATTTTTTAGTTTTAATTTCACTATTATATCAATAAATAGATAAAGTTATTTTTTGTAAATATTAATTATTTTAGGTTTTTCATTAACTTTTTGGTTTTCATTTAATCTTTCGGCCATTCACCCGTGACCCAACTTTTCCCTCTCTCTCTCTCTCTCTCTCCTAGCGATTCACTGCTCTGTTCTTCTCCTTCAATTTTCTGGAGATCAGTTTCTCCATGCAACAAGCGAATGAATCATTTTCAATCTCGCAGATCAACTTATAATGGAAAACGAAAACGTCGATAACAGTAGTTCGTAGCCGGAAGGAGAATGGTCTGCGTTGACGACTTCCGATTCGACCCGAAGAAGAAGAAAGGATTCCGTCGACGACCAACGATTCGGCACCGGAAGGCAATAGAATGGCCAGTTGGCCAGGACTGAAGTGTTTGCGGAGGAAAAGAAAGGATTGCACTAACGATTGTCATTCGGCGGCGGAAGGCAATTGAACGGCCAGCAGTCGATTGACCATCGGTCAAACGATGTATAAATGATGATCCACCGGTCGCTGAAACAAGTAAAAATGGTCGGTTGGAAGGATGGTACATGAGGAATACTTCTCGTGTGACCGACGGGGAAACATGTATAAATGGCCGGTTGGAAGGACGGATAGCGACGAAAAATTCCTGGTATGTCGGACGGTGAACAAGGCCAAATCGCCGGTTGGAAGGATGGGTAAAATAGTACAAATGCTCGATTGAATGGAAGGTCAAACGAGAAGAGCAATTTGGTTGACCGACAGTCAAAATAGGGGTTGGGAGGATGTACCTCTGCTTCCGATGATCTCTTCTCCGACGGAAAGGAAGCAACTGCTTATTCGCCGGTCGGACAATCTACTTTGCCTAGAACGTATCTTGCCTGAAAGAGCCCACACAAAGCAGAGCAAGTAAGAGATCTATGACACACCACCATTCCATCCCTCTCTCTCTCTCTCTCTCTCTCTCCTTACCTCGTTTCTTCCTCCCCTGAAATTCTTAAATCGACGAGAAGGCAGAGCTACCAGCAACACTTCCATCCCACAGGAGACGGAATCTAACAAAAGACAAGGCTTCGCCTTCCATAACCTTATTCATCTCATGTGGGCTATTGGGCTAAGAAGAGACGGCGGGAATTAGGGACGGTTGCGGAGCGGCGGTCAGGGTCGAATCAGATCGATGGTGGGGCGCGATGGCCGGCGGCGGCACATGGATGAGGGTTGCGGAGCGGCGAGGAGATTTAGGGAGGAACTAGATCGATGGTGGGACGGTCGGCGGCGGCTGGGATAAAAAGAGTTCCAGAGGGTTGGGTTGGGGCTTCGGAGAGAGAACGTGAAAGTTTGAGAGAGGAGAGAGGATCGGCTCTTTGTCAGGGAGGAGAGATAAGGGGTTGTTTGTTATTGCTTTAATTTGAAATTTGAATTTGGACTAATTGGTAAATTGCATATTAAAGTTAGGACGTCAAGTAGTAAACTTAGGACGACATTTAGCATTTCAGTTTTTTTATTGAGAATTATGTGAAGATTAATTGCACCTAATTTATCATGTATGATTGCATTCTTTTGTTTTTTCAGGAACAACATATGTGACTGTTCATTTATTCTTCAAATATCTTATGGATATTTATGATAGTTAGGGATGATTGAGATGATGAGATATGACGTATGACAGTTAGGAATGTCAGTGGGTACCTTTATTAGCATGTATAACCCGCGCCCACCCGATCAAGCTCGCCTTGAAACACATAAACATCAGATATTGGTCGGGTTTGGGGAAACCCGGTATATTTGTGGAAGAGGGTACAGGTCGGGGTTGGATATCAGACTATCCGCCCTGACCCCTTTTGATATGCATACAGTCCCAACCCACCTCGACTCCCCCTCACTCCCCTGTTGGCTTGTTACCCTCACCACTCCAATCTAAACATTTTTTAGTGTGGCGTGTAAACCCCAGGCAACCGGAAAATTCCCAAACCTGCACGGGTAAAGGGATGAGTAGTGATTTAGTATCCATAGCCCATTCAGGACGGGGATGGATAACACTCATTTGTAAGTACGGGCGGGGATCGGAGAGCCATTACCAGACCTCATACCCACCAATTGTCATGCCTAATGACGGTAAGGATTAAAAGCAAAGGTAGCCAAATATTGATTTGAGAAAGATAACGAAGAGAATAGAAAAATGAATTGTGTGATATACATGGCATGTGTGTTATATCCTAGGTGCAAAATAGGGTATGTCTTCGATCTTGAAACAGATGTATGGGGAAAATAGTGGAAAGCATTTAGATGATTCCATTAAAGAAGAGATGTCTACATTGTTTGAAAATAACAAAACGAAGTTCCCACATCCACTCTCAAGTGAGGCTATTGACGAGAGTAGTACTCAAAGTGGTGTAGGAGTAGAAGCTATTACCACTAGTGAGAGTTTGAGTAGTGGTTTGGTGATGAGAGGGAAATTTACCTCTGAGTTCAAGAAGAGAGGAAAGAGGAGCTCAATAAAGGTATTTGAAGTTCTTCAGAGTTGCACATCTATCTAAGAGATGTAGATGATGCTATTCTTGAGGATGACGAGAAATTTGATTTTCTGAAATGGTGGTTTTGAAACAACATTAGATATCATGTGCTTTTTGAAATGGTGAAGGATATTTGACTTATTTCAACTTCTTCTGTTGCCTTAAAGTTGGCTTTCAGCACACGAGGTCGAGTTCTATCCTCGTTCAGGTCCTCTCTCACCCCTAAAAATATGGAGGCATTGATTTGTGCAATCCCAAATGATGAAGAGGATCCCCAAAAGCTAATTGAGTTTGAAAGTGATAATATCTCTTTTCTTCCTTCTCATTTTGCTTTACTTTTCATATTTAACAATTTACCTATCTTAGTTTCTGAATGATGATTTGTTAGCACTTTATTTATTCTTTTTTTCCATGTAGTTTATAACACTTTACAAGCTCGAATGGATAGTCAAAGTGGGAGTGACAATGATGGCCTAAGCCAAAGTTTATCGGTTGAGCCTACTCCTACCCCACGGGCATGACCACTAGTGGCGTTGATTACGATTCCGATGTCAATCCATATGAGGAGAATGAAAATGTTAATGTTGATGATGATTATGGACATGAGGATTTGGAGCAATTTAAGAATGATTAGGATATAGGTGGTTGATTTGAATTTGGAAGTTGAATGTTTGCACTTCTCGGTTAACCGACAACTTCTCGGTGGCGATTGCGGTGAGCGGTTTTGGGTTGATGACAATGGCGGTTAACCGCATCTTTGGTTCACTCGTTAGTAGAGGTGGCTATACGGTCCGATCCGGTTAAATTGGGCTGAATTGATCCGGTCCCAGTTCGGTCTTTTCGGGATTATAAGGACCAAAGATTGGATTGGATACAGTCCGGTCTTGACCCGGTTCGGTCCCAATTCGGTCTTGATTTTAGATTGACTTGTGGGGATTTGAGTGGCCTGAGGACTCAAAGGGTGAGGAATTGGTTAAGTTTTGGGTATTAGACTCTCTTATACGGTCTTTATCTGGTTTTCAATCCGGTCCCAAATGGTTTTTTACATCAAATCTAAGCCCGAAGATTGGATTAAATTGGATTGTTTGCTATTCGATTTTGATGCGGTCCCGGTCTGATTTCAGGTAAAACCAAATAGGCTGGACCAAATAGCCAGCCCTTCTAGTCATTATAAAAAACAATTTTATGAAAATCTAAAATTATAAATTAAAATTGTGTTTTTATTTGTTTATCATTTCTACCGGCCCACACACTTATCCGGCATCCGCCATTCACGTTGATTGAAAATTTATTTTGACAATAACATTTATATATGATTATTATTTTAAGAATTATAGTTTTATTAGACTTTATTTTTCCACCGCGGATTTTATGGAGAGCTCAGGGGAACAGATTTCACACATAATCTTGTGGTGTATAACCATATATATAATTCAATCTCAATCGTCAAATCAACGTCTTTCTCTTTCTTGGAAAGTTTTTAATTTTTTCCATAAAATGTTTTTAATTCACAACTCTCAAATTTGCAGCCAATTTAAAAGAAAGATACATATTTAATTATTCATGTTAAACACCCAAGATTATGCACCCTAATTTGAACCGCTACATGAATATCAGAATATATATCCGTATTATTTAGAGAATAATCAGATAGATAATGATCCAAATAATCCTTCGTATAAAGATTATCGTAATCGTCTTTGGTTAAGCTTCATCAACAGAGGAATATACCAAATTCCTTTCCACATAAACAGAACAATCCATATCCACGGATAGTTTTGCCTCCACGAGATTCCGTCTCCCAATCCGCGATGACCTTACGAATGTGCCGCAACGGCGCTTCTTCGCCCAAAGCATATATAGTTTGACTGCAAACCAGAAAACCCATTTCGTGAAGGCAAAGCTTGTACATAAAAGCAGAGGGGTTTTCTCTAATTGCACCATCAGAGCGGGACAGAAAAGGATCGGAGGGAAGCTGGGGCCGATCGCAATGGGTTCAAGATGTAAACTTTCTAATAACTTCGTCGACTATGGCTCTTGGGTTTTCGTTCTTCTCCTTATTCCCTTTTCCTTTCGTTAATTTTTCTGGGTTGTTTTGTGACGATTAAACCCTTTGTTGGGTTATGACTTATGAGTACATTCGTTTCTTTCCAATCGGATAAAAGTTTTGGGTGCTAGATTGAGCTTTGTACACTATCTTTTCCTAGGAGTTCCAATTTTACATTAGTAATAGGACAATTTGTCTCTGTATTTGATATCCTGCAATTTCGTCTGCTTTTTCATGATAATTTCGTCTGAATTTATTGCTCTTCTAAAGAGTAAATGGAATGGAAAATGAATGTGGTTTTGTTTTATCGTTGATTGTTCTGAGGTTGTCTGTTTCCTCTTGGATAAATGGTTATCTTCCGTTTGACTGTGGAAAATATCTATCAGGCTTTGCTCCTATCATATTTCTGTCACTGGTGGCTGTGTGTGCTGCAAGGCCACTTTACCCTCTACCCAGCAAGTTAGCTCAGGGTGCCAAACAGCCTCTACAGACTTCTCGGCCTTATAATATTGCGCATCGAGGATCGAATGGAGAAATCCCTGAAGAAACAGGACCTGCTTACATGGTACGTTTGGCCACCACCACTAACTTATATACCAACAACTTATGGTTCTTTTCTTTTCTGTTCCTCCAAACATAAAGTTTACTTACATTTAGGTGTTTCACTTGATTTCTTATTCTGATTTATGGCTGTGCTGTTTTCATAGAGAGCCATCGAAGAGGGAGCAGATTTCATAGAAGGTGACATCCTAGCTACTAAAGATGGTGTTCTAGTCTGCGCACATGATCTCACACTTGATAACACCACCGATGTTAAGGAGCACAAGAAGTTTGCTGATAGGAAAAGGACCTATATGGTTCAAGGGTCAAATATGACAGGCTATTTCATTGGTAAAAGAATCTCTTCTATGCTGATTTATGCGATGCTTTCTGCTGCTTTATGTCAAAACTCAGGCATCCAAATTCAGAATGAGACTCCACATCTGTGGTTGTTAGCTCCAGTCTTAGATTTTTGCGACTACTTGAATATAGTTGGCAGTTGTTTAGTAAGGAGTCATCTTATATTTGTTGTAATCGTGTGCAGCTGATTTTACTCTTGAAGAACTGAAGACATTGCGGACAAAGCAGAGGCTCGATTTCAGGGATAAACAATATAATGGTGGGGTGCCTTCTCTATGAATGAGTTATCCCTTCTAGCTTTTTGGATGCTTTATATGAATTAATAGTCTTAAATATTGGCTTTAACATGAGATCATAAGACTCTACGGTTGTACTTATAATTATAGAATATCCGTGCAGATAAAGTAAGTCCATGGATTTTACTAATCTGATCCCTTGCTGTGACTTCAGGAAAATATCCTATTATCACCTTTGAAGAGTACATTTCAATTGCACTGGATGCTCCAAGAGTGGTAGGGATATATCCTGAGATGAAGAACCCAGTGTTCAACAACGAGCATGTGAGAAATCTGTTTTTTTTTTTCCCATCTCACTTTTGTTTGCGTTCATTATTGTCTTCAGGCAATATTCTATACGTGAAATAGTTGGAGGAAGCTGATGCTTGTTTATAAACACTAGAGATTCTATTTTGCTTCCTTTCTTCCGAGTCCCTACTGAGTTTAAGCTACTATTCTTGTTATAGCTTCAGGACATGTTGACACTTACTCTTTGAACTGCTAACTCATAATTACAGGTAAAATGGTCTGGTGGTCGACGATATGAAGACGTTTTCATGGAGACACTTCAGAAGTATGGTTACAAAGGTTCATACTTGTCAAAAGATTGGCTGAAACAACCAGTGTTTATTCAGTCTTTTGCCCCAACTTCACTTGTGTATGTCTCAAACTTGACCGATATCCCATTGCTCTTCCTCATTGACGACGTCACTGTTGTAACTGAGGATACCAATCAGGTTTGTTTTTCTGAACTGCTTGTGGAACACATTAGAACAGCTTTATTGTGCTTGACAGTTGTGCTAGTATCTTACATGTTCTTCTGAGTAGCAGCTTGACTATTTTAGTAACAATCTGCAGACTTACACAGAAATCACCTCGGATGCATATCTGAACTACATTAAGAATTATGTGGTGGGGATTGGACCTTGGAAAGATACTATAGTCCCTGTTGTGAATGAATATCTGCAAGCACCTACAGATCTAGTCGCAAGAGCACATGCCCGTAACCTGCAGGTATCAGTTGGAATGATTAAGTTGCTGCCTATTCTTTGTTCCCATAGACATCGCCATTTTTTACACGTTGGCAGAAATTAACTTTAAGATGATCTTCTCTGAAATCCTTCACTTCTGAGAGTTATCTGGTTTAAACTTTCAGTTTCAACTCGATCCTTGAAAAACATGGAAGTTTGAGTTTGTTTGTTTGTGACCTGAATGTTCCTCAGGTGCATCCCTACACTTACAGAAATGAAAACAAGTACTTGCACTTCGACTTTCATCAAGACCCTTACCAAGAATATGATTATTGGATCAACAAAATAGGAGTCGATGGACTGTTCACGGATTTCACAGGAAGCCTTCACAGGTATCAGGAAGCTTCATCACCTCTTCCTAATGCCAAGGCATCTTCAGTGCTGCACAAGGTAGCTGCTTTGGTCTCTTCCTACAAAAATGGATGAGAATGAAGGTCCAAAGGAGCTCGAAAAGTAGGATACTGTTTGTTTCCGATCGGTTTCTTTACAAGATTTGTTCATTCACGTTGTGTATAGGGTTATTGAAGGACCACATTTAAGAAAAGAAAAAAACTAGCAGTGATCATTGTTGTGGCAGTCGGTCATTTATTTATGCTCTTTAAGGGAGACAGATTATGCCTCAATTCTTGGTAACCATAAGGCAAAGCAATCCTGTTCCTGTAAGCTTCCAGTTTTTCTTTTCTTATTTTGGTCCAATAGAGAACAAACAACTGGGGTCTGGGACTTTGAGGGTATATCCAAGTCTCTCGACTCAAACATTTATCAGAACTCGTAGCATTGGAAAGAATGAAAAGTTCATTGTAGCTTTACCATCCCCTCATATAAAATGCTGAAAGCTAGGAAATGTATTTATAAACTCATTTTGTTGCTTCATTGAGATGACTGCTGAAACAAAGGATCGATGATTAGCAGGAGCAAGAGGGTTGAAGAAAAGGACTACTGGTTTCTGTTCTTTCTTTTTTTTCCTTGCATATATGTTGAATTGTTGTGGTTTGGGGTGTCAGTTCGGGTCGGGTTCGGTTACCCGAACCGAAACCTAAAAAAACCCGAAAACCCGAAACCGAAAATCACTAAAACCGAACCCGAACTCGATAAGGACTTGCGGGTTTCGGTTACCCGAAACCCGAAAATTCCTTGTTGGGTTCGGTTAAAGCAAAATCAAAACCCTAAAACCCGAACTCCTAAAAATACGGGTTGAGTTCTATTCATTGGAGGTTTTTAGCCGGAACCCGAAAAACCGATAAGCAAAACCGAACCGAAACCGAAAAGCCCGAAACCCGAAACAAACCCGAACCCAAAAAACCGAAAATGTATATAATCGGGTCGGTTTTGGGTAAACCCGAAAATCCGAACCCGAATGGATACCCCTAGTTGTGGTGGCTGCGCTTAGCGGCGGGGGTGTTTGTTAATTAGGTAATGGATCAGGCCAGTAACCTTATGGTGAGTAACCATGAGTAACCAGCCCACATCAGCATGACATCAGCATCCCTCTCTCTCTCTTGGAAAGTCTTTAATTTTTCCCTCCTTAATCTTTTACGGACTATTTCTCACTCGTTTTAAGTCGAAATTTAATTTTTTTTTTCACAGTTAGATCAGATTAATTGTGCTCTTCAAAATGATATCCACTTTGATATATTTTTCGAACAAAAAAAATTGAGTCATTTTTTACCAGTCTATACCATATGGTATTGACTGGTATTGAAATAAGAGCATACCCATGGTTTGAAAAGCGTACCATGGTGGTATGAACAAACCAAGACTGTAGGATGGTTGAATACATGATAGTAGAAGTATATTAACTGTTAGGGCTAATACCACTACAACACCCGAACTATCTCGAAAATGCCACTTGTGTCCTATTGTTTCCAATATTCCATCTGTGTCCTGAACTATGATACTTTGTGCCATTTGTATCCTGGCGATTTCGTTGACTGTTATCTCTAACGGTTGACCTGACGGTGGTCAAAGAGATGTTGACTTTTGCTGACATGGAAGAAAACGTGGCATCCACGTAGATGCCACATCATACCACATATACTTTTTAATTCAAAATCAAAATAAAATGCAAAATAATTAAACATGCCACATCATCAACCCATTTTTACTCTTAACCCCCAAGTCTTCGAACCCTAAAAGACCCATCAATTCATTCACCGAAGGGCAGTCGCTAAACCCATCGATCGGCCTCCGGCTGTGAAGCGAGGAGAAGGAGTGCTGGTGGGTCTCCCAATCGCAGTTCTGGCTAGGGATGGCAATAAAACCCGAACCCACGGGTACCCACCCGACCCAACCCAGTCAACGCGGGTAAAATCCGTGTTGACGGGTTTTGGGCCGGGTTTGGGTTTAAACCCGTTCACTATTCACCGGGTTGGGTTGGGTTTGGGTTTAGGTAAACCCGGCCCATGGGTACCCGCCCACACCCATATAATTAAATTTCTCGGCATATTTAATATTCTAAACAACTAATCTAATTTATGTTTGTGGAGACATGTCTAATTTTTTCTTTTTAGTTGTGTAGAATGAATTTGATGTTATCGAGTGGAGATTGAAAAACTTAATTGAAAGGAAGAAGCTTTCAATTAATCATGTTATTTATGGATAATTTGTGATTTGCTTCAATTTTCTTGAGTTTTCTAGATTGGTGTTGAACAATTTGTATAGTTAATTTGTGATTTGCTTGAATTTTCTAGAATGGTGTTTTATATATGGATAATTTGTATTGAGAGATTGATATTTGACATCAAGTTTGATAGGAACTTGTTATTGTGAATTTTTTACAACAAAAACCCGTGGGTACCCATGAACCCGCGGATACCCAGCGGGTTGGGTTGGGTTTGAGTTTTTCAAACCCAGTGGGTTTTACCCCGGGTTTTTTTCACGGATAAACCCATGGGTTTGGGTTTGGGTTTGGCAAAACCCGACCCAACCCGACCCATTGCCATCCCTAGTTCTGGCAGAGAAAGGAGTGCTCCGTCTCGCAGAAGATGGAGGAAGGGGAGGCGTCACAAGCGTCGCAGAGCAGCCATCGAGGGTGTTTGGTGAAGAGCTGCATAGGCGGAGGGAGGCCTATTGGGCCTTGTCCCGGGACAGGGGTAAATTTGGGAGGAATAAAAATATGTCATATATATGTATATTGGTGATGCAAAACCCCTATTGGTAGTATTAGAGTATTTTTGTCACTACAGCACAACTCATTACTTATTCATAAATTGACATAAAATTAATTTATTATACTATAAACGAATTCGAATTGCAATAAAGACCTAATCGAATCTTTTTCTCCTTATGCCTGTTCGATTTTTTTTCCCAACAACCCTGAAATTGTCTAGCGACAACGACAATTCCACTAGTTTTGATTCTACAAATTACAAGTGCAAATGTAAAAAGAGCATTTTTCAGCTTTGAGTTATATTAAGAACAAGTTTCCAAGTTGATTTGGCGACCAATTTGCTAATGCTAATTTAGTGAGATACAATGAAAAAGACTTATTTAATAGTGTAGACGACGAATGTTTTTGCGTTTCTTTCACAATATGAGATCTCTCCGTGGTTGTTAAAAATAATGTTTGTATAGTCGGTTATTTTTAATCTAATGAATGAATTATGCAGATATAATTATTTTTTATTAAATTATTTTTAATTAAATATTTATATATTTATATTATGAAAAGAGGACAGGGGTGGTTTGAAATGCTAGCTCCGCCACTGAAGAGCTGGTTGGTGAAATGAACTTCACGGTCGCATGCGAGACATAGCATGGCCGAATCTGCTCTACAGTACAGCACGACGGTAGCTTGGTTGCAGTAATCGCAGAGCCGCGGCGGCGGCGGCGGCTTCGGTACATCGTCTTGCTCCTCCGATTTCGGGGGCGCATTCATGAAATCAGCCATACCTGAAGCTGGTTGATTACTCTTCGATTACTAGCATCAGTGGTAAATCTCCTATTCTCTGCCAGGAAATGAATCTAACCTTAGGCTGAAGCTGGAGGTAGCTTTACATATACTGAGCATGTGGATTGTGGATAGATGAGACAATGAAAGCAAGGGGAAGAACAATGGGAAAAGGAAAAACAAAAATATAAGGGAAAGGGTACGAGAAAAAAAAGGGCTAATACCACTCTCATTGTTCTTCGACAGCGACGAACAGTGATGAATAGTGGAGAAGATTACTCTTCGCCAGATTTGAATCCACCATCTCTTCGACAACGACGAACAGTGGAAAAGATTTCGAGCTCTCTGGCCGCCGATCGGATAGGGAGTAGTGGGTGGATGAAAACGGTGACTTCCAACAGAGCCGTCGATTTGGAGCTCGGAGAGGGAAGGGGATTGAATTAAGGGATTGAATCTGTCGATTGTGAGATGGGAGAGGGAGAGGGAAAGATTTTGGGATTTTTCATTTTGTTTTCCTTGTTTTTAGTATTTTAGATGGAAAAATAAATGAAAATTCCACGTCAGATGCCATGTCAACGCTGACTGGATTTTCTGTTAAATACTAACGGTCAACACCGGTCAACACTAACAGAATAATAGTTCAGGACACATATGGAATATTGGAAACAATAGGACACAAGTGGCATTTTCGAGATAGTTCGGGTGTTGTAGTGGTATTAGCCCTAACTGTTATTTAAGACTTTTATCATTGTGTACCACAAGATACCACCCCGTACCATGGTGGTATTGTATGGTATTGTGTGGTATTTTTTGGTCATGTAATTTGTTCACCCAGAAATTTTTAGATCCAATAGATCATGATGAACTCGTCCCTTTTGTGCAAACGTTTTAAAAAACGAATTAAAAACGAAGAAAATACCATATGGTATGCAGTTGGTACCGAGAGGCCAGAATTTTTTTTTTCTCAAAAAATATTGAAAATTGATCTCATTTTGTAGAGCACGATGAACTCGTTCCATCTGTGCAAAAAAAAAATCCGAGTTAAAACGAAAAAGATATGAGCCGATTAAGAAAGTTAGGAAAAATAACAATGGTCTTTAATTCTCTATCCTTAGATCTGAATTTTCTAAATGAAGGGTCCGGATTTGATTATTGATGGGTGCATAACCCATTATTATGCACCCTATCTTGAGCCTGTTAATTATGGTAGAAAATACAAAACGTAACCAACGCATGTTATAGAGGAAAGGGAAATCCGAATAAACAATAAGTTTGAAAACTGTTAGGGTTGTTATGGACTTCAATCTTCATAGGTCCCATGACGTTAGATAGATCAAAAAGCTGATAGTACTCACCAATATATTTTTTATTTTTATTTTTCGATAGTACTCACCAAGGTTGTCAAACCGATTTGTACCGGTGCGCCGATTTCATAAGTGAAATGGTCAGACCGTAATATAACCGATATATATGTCGGTTTGTGCAGGTTTAACAAAAATATGCATAATTATCAATAAAAAGAAACAAAAATGGTGGCAGGGCTGCAGTTTTAACAAAATATGAAGGGCAAGGTTGTATTTGTGGAGACCATTATATAAACTAAAAACGCCCACTTCCAAATCCATCTCTACCCTGGCCGCCTCTTCTTTCCTCCTCTCATTTTCTCTCTGAAAAAGTGACGCTTCTGATATATAACATAGCCCATGAAAACCTCCAAATCAACACCGCCATTGGAACCAGAAAAGGAGTTAGCTTTGGCTTGTGGAAGAAGAAGAAGAGCAGGGCAAGTGAGGGAGTCAGAGGCCTCCTTATCTCCTTCCTTATGGCCGGATCTCGGCGCTAATTGCTAGCAACAGAGACTAGGATCCGAAGACCCTATGCTCGCCTCCCATGATTTGTTGGAGTATCACCGTGTGAAGAGCATCGCCGAGTGCTCTGTTTCGCAAGTTGGTCGCCGATCTGTTCGTCGTCGAGAGAAAGTGAACAAGCGGCGAATAGCAAATTGCGCAAACTGAATCTGTTTTTTTTTTGCAATCTCAGTAATGAAAACGACGTTGTAACAAGCAACGACCGGAAATTACCCTTCCGGTTGAACCACCGGTGTTCCGAGAATTGACTAGTTTTGACCGGAATTGACTGGTATTGACTGAAGCATCATACCGATGGTATTCCAGCCGGTTTCATAACCAGTACCGGTTGGACCTGGTTCAACCAGTCGGCATACCACTGGCATGACAACCATGGTACTCACCAATATTAATAGTCCATGAAAGAGGCGGTAACAAAAGTTGGTCTGGATGGCTAAATGTCGCCCTAGTTTTACTATTATCGCCCTAAATTAAAACATAAAACTACTAAATTACCCTTCATTAATCAAATAAGAAAAACAAAAAAAAAATCCCTAAAATCCTAACCTTCTCCGACACAGTAGACTTCCTCCCAAAGTCCAAACACCTTCATGTTCCTTCTCCCCGCCGTCGCCTACACTCTCATCCCCGATTCGCCAGCAGCAGTACCATCCACGAAGCCATTGACCGCCAATAGATCTTCAAGTTTCTGTTTGTTGGATGATAAAGTTTGCAGTTGGAGCTAGCTTGTTAATCATACAAGGGTGAAGCCTGAAGGCGAGCATCAATAGGGAGAAGAAATTGGTTGTATTCGTGGGAGCCGATGCGGAACTAGTACGTTCAATATGGCTATCTCAACCTACCCGTGGCTACCATCATCAACCTTTCCCGAATTCAGTTGCGGGTGGTGATGTTGGGAAAATGGCTCTTGGGTTCCTTTCCTCTATTGGGGCGGTGGATGGCGACCGGCGGGCCAGGTCGGCGGTGGTGGGAATCACAGTTCACAGACAGTTGCTAATGTCAATTATAATATGATTGCGTTTTTGACTTTTTTTTAATAAAATATTTTTAGTAATAAAAAGTGAAGGGTAAAGATGTCACAATAAATTATAAATTAGGGCGATTAAATAAAATTAGGGCGACAATTAGCAACTCCCAAAACTAAACGTCAATTGAGTTAGGGGTGGAATTCATATGGTAATGATATCTCGATACTAAATAATGCTGGATAACGTTAAAATCAATATGAACTCCAAAACAAATTCAGTATTCCAGTTCCAAAAAAATTGAGATCACATAGAGTGTCACCTTCCTATCTAGGGCTGGTATTTCGGTTAGTTCGATTATAACCGATAACCGAAATGTCGGTTACCGGTTAACCGAGACAGGGCATGTGGCTACCGCCAATCGACCGAAGAAAGCCTTCGGTTAGCCGGCAACCAACCGATCGGTTACCGGTTAGTTGGCCGGTTAACCGAAGTAACCGCGGCATGCTGACGGCACTCCCAAATTCCCCCAAAAACAATCATCTCTCCCTAAATCCCTGAACCCCACTTTCTCCGAATTGCTCCATCACTTCCAAACCCTCTCCAATTCATCGCCATTAATCATCAATGGCAGAGCCCCCTAAGCCGGAGTCATCCGGGAGGAAAGACGTCGGCGCCTCCTTCGTCCTCGAATCCAAGGGTACTTAATTAATTACCAGTTAACTCGATTCTTCCTTTCGTTAACTAATGGATTGATTTCTCCGACCCACCGACGAGCCTCGTTAGTAACGGCGGCGCAACCTCTCTGTTCTTGCAGGTCAGTGGTGGCACGCCTGGTACCACCTGACGACGGCGATAGTGGGAGAGAGTGAGGGAGAGGACCGGCGGCGACAGAGGCAGGCGCGACGGCGGGGAGAGTGAGGGCGGCGGCAGGGAGAGTGAGGGAGAGGGAGTGTGAATCGCTGCTGCTGTGTGGGTGGAGTGAATTCGCAGCGGCGGCGGGGAGAGTGAAGGCCAGCGAAGTCTTAGGGTTAGGCAGGGTAGGATGCGGCGTCGTTTACCAAGGGTGAGGATGCGCCGGTTAGTCGGTTTAACCGGCGGTTATTTATGTCGGTTAGCCGGTTAACCGGCCTCCTTAACCCGTCTACCGCCAACCGCCCGCGCCTTCGATTTTTCGGTTATCGGTTTAACCGGTCGGTTAACCGGCAACCGATAACCGAATGGCCAGCCCTATTCCTATCTATTAGTATCCTGCCAACATTAACTATAAAAGGTATAATAGCAACTATACTTATAACAACTCATTCTCCCTCCCTCTCATGCATTTGGATTTCATATACAAATTACATTTTGATACCTAAATGTAATAGATTTTAAGACTTAGTATCTAAAATTATTTTTTGTGCATAGAAGTCCCAACACGAACTCGGAACATTGACTCCACAACATTGCCGGACTCGGAACATTGCCTAGCTCACGACATCACGAACCTCGTAGCATCGCTGAGGCGTTGAGCTCCCATCACTGTCAAATTCACAAGTTGAATTCGCGACATCGTTTAGCTCCGACGTTGTTGAACTTGCAACGCCGCTGAAGATAACCAAAAAGTAAATTCGTGCAGGCTTGGCTCAAAACGGACAATATCGTACTAAATTAGTAATGAGCTATCTTGTTTTGACAAGTGGTATCAGATCTTGGTTCGGTGCGTGGGCGGTGGAGTCAGTTCGGTGGACTCTCATTCGGTGACCTTGCGATTTGAGATTTGCGTTTGTTAGGTGGATCCATGAGAGATTCACGTTTGTCTGGCAGGTAAAGGAAGATTCGCGTATGTTTGGTGGATCCAAGAGAGATATGCGTCGAGGGAGATTCGCGTCTAGTATGGCATATCAATTGAAATATGCGTCTATGAAATCCTTGTGTTGAAGAGCTCATCGATACAAGGTGTCTGGCGGATCAAGATAATCGCTGAGGAGAGGACACAAAACTTGTGGTCATTGTCTTGAGGGGAGGATTGTTATGGGATAATCCAAGTACCACATAGGAAATACAAGTGAATGAACCCTTGTATATTAGTGTCTATCTAACCTAATTAGTACGAGGCCTTTTGGGGAGGATACCCAAAAAGTAAATTCGTACGGGTTTGGCCCAAAGCGGACATTATCGTACTAATGAGCTATCCGGTTTCGACAAAACTTGTGGGTCATTTTAAGTTTTCTTATATGCCTTTATTAATTTTATGGTGTGGTAAGATTATACTATGCTTTATAAGCTTTAGGTTCTGCTTTATGTTATTTGTGGTACGATCTTTTGTGTTTCTGGCATGTGTTTTAAAGTGTTGCGGATAATTTTTTCTCAATATTTATTATTCTTAATTAGTAAAATACGATAAAGAATTTTCAAAGCCGAAGTTGAAACGACCTGATCCTTTTTGAAAACCAATCATTTTTTAAAATCAAACCAGAACTCAAACAAAAAATCGGTTACTCCGAAGCAACCCAAACCATGCTTAAAAGTCAAACCGAAAATAAACAACGATAATATTCAAGAATCTCAAATGAAATGTAACATCTCGTTTCGGCTAAACTCGTATTACGGTCGCTAAAAAATTTCACGATTTAAAATCGAGTGTTTTGATAGTATTTCGACGAAAATCGGATTATCGATCGATCGGATAAGTATACGTATTAATTATATATATATTTCTCAGTCCATTTAATTCCCTTTTTCATAACCGAGAGCTAGAGAGCAAACAGAGAGCGCACAGGCACACGAGGGAAAATTTTCGTAGCTCAATTCTTGAGCCCTAGTGATCCAAAAATCCCGTAAGTAATGCCTAATCCATCCATACATCGTAGATTAGTGATTTAGAGCTTTAAAACAAGTTTTTGGTTTAGGAATTTCTTGAATTTCCGATAAGCCAAATTAGGATTTTGGAGTATCCGGAAGCCGGATTGAGCCCAGATTTCATATACGAGCTTCTTGCAGCGAGGTAATTAATCCTCTGGTTCTAATCCATGAATTTCGGCTATTATTTAGGTCGGAGCCGGGATCGCTGAATTTAGCTCCGACCAGGGTTTGATGTGTTTTTATCGAGAATTTGATCTGGAGCTTAGTAATAACATTAACGGGGATACTGCTGGGGATATTGGGACAATCTCGGATTTTGATTCCAAGTTTGAGAAAAGTGAAGTTTAGTTCGGGAGGCTAAAACCGGTGTGTGAACGACAAGAACTAGTGAGGGATTAGCACGGCATACCGGGTTTGTCTTATCACGATAATATATTGTATTTGAGAAGGTGATTGGGTATGATTTTTCATGATTATTGTATTTAGATGCACAAGTGGGAAACTATATATCTCATGGTGATATTATGATGTTTAAGGAGGATGACTTGCACGAGGGTTTATCCTGAGGAAGTGCAATTATACGACTCCTGGTTATGTTGAGCCAATTGTGGTCAAGTCAAGAACATGTCCAAGTAATGAATTATGATTAAGCAAGATGAGATATGGATCATGTATAAGGATACCAAGTAAGAGTACTTTGGTCTCATGGTAAATTACATAGTAATTACGGCTCCCCATGCTATTACTCCGTTATGATATGTTATCTCACACCCCTGATGTGGTATTGACCGTTGATTCATCATGAAATATGACCACACCTAGAGTGGTGTTGAGTCCGATATGACCACACCCAGAGTGGTGTCAGGTCCCATATGACTACACCGGCAGTGGTGGGTCCGATATGACCACATCCACGAGATGTTTGGTCCATATTCCCGGGAGAGTAATTAGCATGGGAGTAGCCAGACGTCTATGATTAAAACATGATAAGATGCATATGCATAAGTCAAGGTGGTTGAGTCTTTTGCCTATTGGGATGTCGGATGCCTGAGGTCTGATCCTAGTGCTTTGGCTTGTTTGCTAGATGTATGGTAGGGGTATGCTCTGTTATGAACTCACGATGCTATGATTATCTTACTCAGCTATGAGCTGACCCTCTTTTATTCTTTTCCTCTGCTTATGCTATGTGTAAGCAGATCATCAGCAGTAGTAGTAGCAAGTACATAGGTGTGAGCAGAACGAGGAGTTGAATGCAGAATGAGGTATTGTCTTCAACTATTCTGTGCTTGGACGACTACTTGGGATTTTGGCCAGCGATCCACACCTCTTTTGTAAAAATGTTTTGAGAATGTTTTTCATGTGCATACTAGCTTTTGATGTAGTATTACATATCCACAGGTGTGGAAAGTTGATATGTGTATATTTGTGCGGTTGTGTAAGTTGTGACCACTATGGCATGTATTAGTAAGGTATGCAGTTGTGGAGTATGAAGCTGTGCCTACGGCTATGAAAGGTGATGTATATGGTTATTGGTACGTATGTATATCTAGGGATGCAGAGAATCAGATAAGTTATGTTGCAGGTATGATTGGAAAAACTGTTAGCCCATTACGCGAGTAATTCATGTCAAAATTTTATTTGGATAAATTTTGGTAATTGATGTAACACCTGAGATTATTTCCGCTGCAAATGTATGAACAGTATGATTAGGTAAAACGTACAGGGTAGGGTGTTACAGTTTGGTTAGAGCCCGATTCCCTCTTTTTGTTGTTATGACGTACTATGCCCATTGGGAAGTTAAATACTTCTAAGGAGGGGAGTACCTCATAATGACTTAAACTCGGAATTGAGTTTTACGTGATTAAGTTTATTGTATGTTAGATGGAATTAGTTGCATCATAGTTTTCAAAATTGAGTTTTGAACTTATTTCCCAAATAATTATTGGGAAATTTTTGTTTTAACCAAGTGAAAGATTTGGTGGAGAATGAATTTTGTGTGGATCAATCTAAGGCCAATATTTCCTTGTAGCTCGCACGGAAGTTGTCATAATGTTCCTACTGACCAGACGAGAGGAGTGGGGGCGGTTGATGCAAGACCGCCACTATTAGACTATGCAAAGATGAAGAGTCTGGGTGGTAAGGACTTCAAGGGAGATGTGAGTCGAGATGCTGTAGTAGAGTGGTTGAGAGAGATGTAAAGATGTGTTTGAGTATCTTTATGCTGAGTTGGCGATATTTTGTCAATAATAATATGAGGTGGAATTAACTAAAACAATTAAAAATTAATTAATTAACTTTTTTTATTTTTTTCTCTCCCCGCTCTCTTCGTTCCCTCTGTCGACCACTCTCTTTCTCGTTCTTCTTTCCTTTCTCCTCCAAACCCACGAATCTTCCAAATCCGAACTGGACCAAACAGGGGGCTGCACCTTCTTCTTCTCTTCGATTTACCCCTACCTCTCATTACTTCTGGAAACAAATGAGGGAAACGAAGATAATACTTTGTCGGTGGCGACTGGAGGCGAACACCGTCGACGATGACAATGACAACGGCGAGGGGGGACGCCGTTTAACAACAGCGACGAAGGTGAGAGGCAAATTTTTTTTTTTATCTTGTGTGTCAATTTCTTTGGAGTTTTCGTTTGATTCTGTTTTAGGAAAGTTGGATCTGAGTTTTTCTTTGATTTTCTGGGTTTAATGGCGGACGAGGGAGGAAGAGAAGGCCGTGGCCGCGAATTGGCGATTTGGCAAAGTGGCTCAATTTTGAGATTTGAAATCCCCATCTTCCGTCGCTCCGTCACCGCCAATCCGGATCCCTCTCCGTTTCCACCGTAGCAAACAGCTACAATCCCTAGTCGCAAGAGCCATAGATCCGTCAAGGAAAAGGAAACATCATCATCAACATCATCCTCGGATCCCAAATCCTCAAACCATGTCCAACCCTCCAACTTCTCCCGGAGAACAGCCATCCAAGGAAGAAGAAGCAGTTGCATCGGGAATCAATTCAAAAAGCCCTGAACAAATCCCTCGTCAGCCTATTCTGGCGGCCAAGAAGATTAACCTTTTGGAGACTGGAGATGTTGAGTAGCCAACGATTCTAGCAGCGGTGGTGCGAATTTTATTTTCTGGAGGTGGGAGTGGGCGGAGGTGGGAGGAAGGGTCAGGGTCGAAGCGGCCGCGAATTGGAGGAAGGGGAAGGTCGGTTGTTTTACTTTTTTTTATTTTATAATTGATATTTTAAAATAAATATTATATGTAATCTACGTGTCATTTGATGATGATTTGTCGATGATGTGTGCGTTGATTTTGCGTCCTTGTCAGCGTATCGCTAACAGAACTGACGACGTCTTTAACACCGTTAAAGTTTCTAATGGAAATGGCTAGATTTGTCACACGACCATCCAATTTCTTGACTATTTCGTGTTTTCCAATAGTTATGGCTATATTTCTCACAAACGTGAAAGTTATTGCTATACAAGCAGTGCTGTCAAAGCCGAGCCGAGCCGGCCGGCCGGACCGCCAAAGCCGCCACCCGGCCGCAAAACCGGCTCGGATCAGCTATTTAGCCGCTACGGTTTAATACGGCGGCCGGCGAGCGGTCGAAGCGGTTAACCGCTCGAGCCGCTCGAACCGGTCGCTCGGTTCGGCCGTTTAATTAACCCTAAAAAAAAAAAGGAATTGGGCAGCCGCCAGCCAAACAAAACTGAAAACCCTACCTTTCCTTTTCTTTCTCCATTCTTCGACCTGAACAAAGGAAACAATAGAGGGAGAGCGGCGCCGTCCACCATCGCCAGCGCTTTCGTCCACCATCGCCAGCAGCTCGCCGCCGCAAGCAGCTCGTCGTCCCGTCGCTATCGTCGCCAGTCGCCCTCGCAAGCGCTTCCGTCCACCATCGCCAGCGCTTCCGTCCACCATCTCGCCGTCGCAAGCAGCTCGCCGTCCCGTCGCCATCGTCGCCCTCGCCAGCGCTTCCGTCCACCATCTCGCCGTCGCAAGCAGCTCGCCGTCCCGTCGCCATCGTCTCCAGTCGCCCTCGCAAGCAGCAATCGCCGTGAAGACTGCCCTGCTCGAGGTAAGTTGATTTACAAGCTTCCTATCAAAAACTGCCCTGCTCGAATGGATTGATTAACAATAGAAGGCCATTATCTTCGAGAACTCATCAGCTGTTTGTATCGCTGAATTCAAAGAGAAAAGTGAAACACTTAGTTTAGTCAGGAACTATCAATTAGGCATTTAACCGGGCAAAAGACAGTCATCTTTTGTTAATTTAGCCACCTTTTGTTAGAAACCTATCAATTAGGCATTTAACCGGCAAAAGACAGTCATGTGCAACTTGAATAAAATTAACAGCATGCATAACGAGAGACTACATCTTTTGAGATTACCAAAACCAGTTGCTTTTGTCTTTTGATGAGTTTTAAAAAGGCATATAAGGAGAAGAATTGTTATGAGGTTGTTAGGGGTCAGAATAGTTTTGGACATTATCTTCATTTATAGGAGATATTGTTCTTTGATTGCATATTAGCAAAGAGATAGTGTTAGATTTTCCCTTGTATCTTTGCTGATTTGATCTTTCTTTTGTAGATGAGTATTCCAAATCCAGATAGTGGTACTCAATCAACAACACCAAGCTCTACTGCTTCAACTGGGCAAGCTGGTCGAGGAAAGAATGATCCTGCTTGGAATTACATCCAAGAAGTCAAAGATGATAATGGGAAGGTGCTGGCACTCAAATGCATGCTATGTGGAATTGAGAAAGAGGAGGGGGGATTCATCGGATGAAAGAGCATCTTGCTCATTCTACAAAAGGGAATATTGTCAAATGCTCAAAAGTTCCCTATGATGTGCGTTTGAGATTTGCAAATATTCTTAAAGAATATGATGAAAAGAAGGAAGGGAAGTCGAAATCTAATGATCCTATCATTGGTGACAAAAGATGATGATGTGGTTGAGTTAGCGAGATCACAGGCAACTAAAAATGTTAGTGACTTGATGAAGAAAACTAAGGGAGCTGACTTTTTTGCTCCAAGAACCACTCAAGGGTCGCAACCAAGCATCAAAAGTGCAATGGCTACTAAGGATGCAATTCATAGAGCTCATATGATTTGTGCAGAATTCTTCTATGAGAATTGCATACCTTTTAATGTAGCTCACTCAGATAGTTGGCAGAGGATGTTTGATTCTGCAATGGCTATTGGTCCAGGATTTAAGGTACCATCATATCATGATTTAAGGGTGCCTTTACTAGTTGATTGGAAGAGAGAAACCCAGCTAATTGTTGATCAACACCGAGCCGTTTGGGGACAGCGTGGGTGTACTTTAATGGCTGATGGTTGGACTGATCAACAAGGTAGAAGTTTGGTCAATCTATTGGTCTATTGTAGTAAAGGTCTTTGTTTTCTTAAATCTGTTGATGCAACAACGGTTGTGAAGATTGCAAAGAACCTTTTCAAGATATTTGATGAAGCAATTCAGTGGATTGGCGTGGGCAATGTGGTTCATGTGGTCACTGATAATGCAGCTAACTACAAGTCATGTGGTAAGATTATTCATAAGACTTATCCACATATTTATTGGTCTCCATGTGCAACTCATTGCATGAATTTGATATTGAGTGATTTTGGAGATTTGGAGAATGTGAAGGTTGTCATTCAAAAGGCTAGAAGAGTCACTGTGTTTGTTTATAATCATTCTCCTGTGATTAATTGGTTGAAAGCAAGGCCAAAGTGGAAGCAAATAGTGAGACCTGGTGCAACTCGCTTTGCTACTAATTTCCTCTCCATGAAGAGTGTGTATGAGCACAAGGTTGATTTACAAGCTTTAGCAGTGAGTGAGTTCTTCAATGCAGATGAATCATCTAAGACTGCAAAAGGAAAGGCGGTGAGTGCTATATTGTTAGATGCTCAGTTTTTGGGTGATTGTTTGGAGATGTCAAATGTGGCTCAACCAGTCATGAAGTTGCTGAAACTTGTGGATTCAGATGAGAAGCCCACTCTTGCTTATGTTTATGAGGGAATGAGAAGAGCAGTTAAGGGAATCAAAGAGATCTTTTTAGGTAAAGAGACTTTGTACAAGCCTTACATTGACATCATCAACAAAAGGTGGGATAAGCATTTCCGGGGGGATCTAGTCAAAGCAGCTTATTTCTTCAATCCTGCTCTCAAATATGATGAGGAATATGTGGGGGACATTGAGGTGAAGGGGGCTATAATAAACTTGCTTGAAAAGCCCCAACTTTGTAGTGATGGTTTGCAAGCATGTAAGGAACTGAAACTGTTTGAGGAAGCGAAGGGGACTTTTGGTAGGGACTTGGCTGTTAGAGGTAGATCATCACTTGATCCAGGTAATATGAAGTATCATGATTTGTAATGCAATAGTTGGTCTATTTAATTGTGTTTGTTCTAATAAATTATTTTTCTTTGTAGATGATTGGTGGAATACCTTTGGTGATAGTGCACCATTGTTGAAGAACCTTGCACTTCGAGTCCTAAGCCAAACTTCTGCCTCTTCTGGATGTGAAAGAAATTGGAGTGTGTTCGAGCGGATTCACACCAAGAAGAGGAACAGTATAGAGCATGAAAGACTAAGCAATCTAGTCTTTGTGAACTACAACATGAAGCTAGGAAAGAGGTATGTGATAAATAGCAAATATGTTTGATTTGAGTACAAAATATTTTTGCCATGAAATAGTGACATATTTGACTTGTATTTAATCATTCATAGGTCTCGTACTAGAAAAAGTAAGTTCTTGGTTGATCCATTTGACTATGAATGGATTAATGCCACTGAATTTTGGGTTATGGATGAGGAAGAGGATCCAACTCCAGATCTTAGCTTTGATGAGTTGATGCAAGCTATGGGTGATAATAATGCTAATGACGTTCCTGAAGGAAGTGGAACTACAAGTAGGAAAAGAGGTCGCAATGAAGGTTGGATTGACATATTATTAGTAAATGAAGAATGTTCAACTTTGATCTATTTTTAACACATGATTTCTAACCTATTTTTGTTTACTTATTAGATGATGATGGACATGATGGTAGCACAGCAATTGGGATGGCGTCTTTAAGCAGTGATTCATCTGATGCTAGTGATGGTGAATGAAATGATGATGAAGTTGTATTTGATAGTTGTTTGAGTTTGAGACTTTGAGTGGTTTCCATGTTTAAGACTCTTGTTTAATGTTCAGACTCGTGTGATATTGCTTCTATTTTGGAACAATGTGGTGGTTTGGAATTGAATTTTAGATCTTTCAGTACTTATGTTCTAGAATGGTTTAAGAGAGTAATTTACTTGTGGTTTACCATGATTAAGAAGTGTCTACTATTACAGATGACTGTTTATTAGGTACCGGTTCTCAAACGGTTTTTAAACGGTCTAATGTCGGCTGGACCGCTAATGACCAAGCCGTTCACGTTACCGGGTCATACTCCGGCTCGGCTTTGAAAGCATTGTATACAAGTGTATTTTGCCTTTTTTACATAAAAGTCCCAACAATATTGATAGGAAATTATATTTTAGTACCTAAAATTTTTTTGTCTTATATTTTTACCCTGAATTTTTTAAAATTTACAAATAGGTTCAATTTTATGATGTTTCTTGTATGTTTTATGAACTTGTGGTCTACTTTATAAGGTTTGTGGTTTGCTATAAGAAACTAATGTCTACTTCATGGGACTTGTGGTATGTGTCACTGAACTTGCGGTTGCTTTACGAGGCTTGTGATCTGCTTCATTAAACTTATGGCCTACTTTATGAGGTTTCTGGTATATTTTAGGAAGCTTGTGGTATGCTTTATGAGATTTCTAGTATGCTTCAGAGAACTTGTAGTTTGCTTTATGAGATTTTTTATATGCTTTAAGAAACTTGTGGATTGCTTTGAGTTTTCTGATATCCTTTTATGAATTTTATGGTTGGTAAGATTATGATATGCTTTAGAAGCTTCCTGTTCTGCTTTATGTTATTTGTGGTGCGGTTTTTTGTGTTTCTGACATGTGTTTTTGTAGTCTTGCGAATGATTTTTTCTCAATATTTATTATTCTTAATTAGGAAAATAAGATAAAAGGAGTTTCACACCCCTTTCTATATATACACACACAGTGGCTTCTACGGTACCATGGGTGAAATTCAGGGTATCGCATACCTTGAGTATGAAAACACTATCTAGACCTCGAATTAGCAGAATTTTTGGGATTGATACTATACCCTAACCTCTAATGAGTGAACCCTAGGTCCAAATTATCTAAATCATAAACTATAAACCCTAAGATCGAGCATTCATTTTTTTGCATATATTTGGACGAATCATAGCCGTTGATTATTGTTTCTAATTAAATTAATTTTGGGGTATAAGATTTAAGGAACTAAGACCTAGATTTTGATCTTTAAGGGTTAGAGTATGATATCATGCCCAAAAGATCAATCAATTCAAAGTCTGGATAACGTTTTCATACTCAAGGTATGCGGTACCTCGAATTTCACCCTAAGTATCGTAAAACTCGCCATATATAAATGCTGGCGTCTTCGGTGCACTCACTTTTTTGGGTGCATTCAATGCACTCGCCTCATAATCGTCATTCTGAGCAGATGATTTATGTGAAAACGATGTCAATCGTCACTTGTGGTATGATGGACAAGAAAACACATGAATTTGTACAAAAATCATTCAAGATTTACTTTAATTTGAATGATTTAGGATTTAGGGATTTAGGGTTAGGGTTTATACTCAAATCTTTTTTGATTCAGCCGAATGATCCAAAGATTATCATTTATGAATTTGAATTTTTCTTACAAATATTGCCTTTAATTGACTCTTTCAAACTCGATGATTGAATTGCGTCATGATACTTGTGGTGAGGCGCGAGACTTAAAATTAATGACGAGTGCCACACGCGTGCTCCCCCTTGATTTTTAATGAGGACAAGTGTGTCCCTCCCTTTTACAATGCAAATCCGCATGAATTGTTGTTAACACTTTGGAATCATCAAAACAAAATGTTCATATAGACTAGAACTATTGTTAATACTAGGGTGGCTATACGGTCCGGTCCGGTTAAATTGGATCAAATTGATCTGGTCCAGTTCGGTCTTTTTGAAAATATAAGGACCAAAGATTGGATTGGATACAGTCCGGTTTTGATCCGGTCCGGTCTTGACCCGGTCAGGTCCCAATTCGGTCTTGATTTTATATTGAGCTTGTGGGGATTTGAGTGGCCTAAGGCCTGAAAGGGTGAGGAGTTGGTTAAGTTTTGTACTAAGTGCAAAGGTTTGTGACCGTTTATGCAAATTACCCTTAAGTTTTGGGTGTTGAGCTCTCTTATCCAGTCTTTATCCAGTTTTTGATCCGGTCCCGAACGGTTTTTACCTCAAATCTAAGCCCAAATATTGGATTGGATTGTTTACAATCCGGTCCCGGTTTGGTCTTGGTCCGGAATATACAGTCCGATTTCGAGTAAAACCAAAA